GGTTGCGTGACAATAGTCACGTGATCTCGCTGACGCAACAATACGTAATAAATCTTTATCTTTTCTTTACATCAAGATTACCAAAAATGGTAAACATCTTTCTGTCTCTGTTTATCGTAAAAGTATTTTCACATGCCATTATTTTAGTTTGAACTGTTTTATCCTCAAACGTTTTCAAACGAAACCTAGTCATGCCATTAAAAAACAGAATTTTTAATCTTTTCTCGAATTACCATATTTTACATGGAGAAATTAAATTTCTCCACAATGGCTTTATCTACTGACTTTCTAACAAACATCACTTGTGAATTTTTAAACAGCAAATTTTAGCCATCCACTACTGTGCACATTATTCTCACATCTCCCCCCATATTTACCTTCCGAAGACATGCCGCTTTGCCACTGGATTGATTTAGCTCGCTGACGCTTGCGTATAAAAATGGTTGGTATTCAGCTGTGTGACGTAGGGTATTGTCCAATGAGATTGTAGTTTTCGTAATATGCATGTAATAGTTTTTTAGTTGTAACCATGTGTTTAAAATTCGCAGGTTTTGTCTATGGTGTAACGATTACAGCCGTTAGATATTCATTATTATTGTAATCAAGTTCTGTACGATATTACTACGCATTGTTGAATATATAATGTAATGAACTTTTATTAACTCAATAACTGTTATCTTTATTAGAATTAAATTAAAACATGTGGAAAAGTATTCAAGGTGTCTATGGAGCATTTCACTTTCAGCTATCAAAGGTAATTCACAACTTATGAACGAAATTTTGACATTGTAATTTGTATAATTTGTTAAAAAGCTACACTTTTACAGAAGAGAATGAATGATGCTGATAGCAATAATAACCTGAATGTGAGCGATCTCTTAAGTTTTAAAGATCAAATGTAAATTCACTAAAACTAAGAAATATTACCATACTAATCTGTTAGTGTTAACTTTTTGAAAATGTCACTGTAAAAAACAAAAATGTTAAGAAGATTACGTCCTATTTCAATTTTCATGTTACTGTTAGGTAGGACTAGTTCAACAGATAGTGGACAATTGCTTGAGAATTGGATATTTTAATTTTATAATGTTCTTTTAAAGAGAATGATAAGAATATAAAAGTTTCCCAACCAGCTATTCTGCATTCTAATAGAATTTCTATACTAGTCAATATTTCAAACAGTCGATAAGAAAAGTGCTTTGCCAAATCATTTAATTCAGTATTTAACTTTTTTATTATAATTTCATAAAAAAAATCAACACTGACTGAATGGAAATCTTCCATTACTAATATGTTAAACTTCTTGTGAGAACGTTACTTGAAGTTGATATCTGGATGATGTAAGATGGTGTGGACTTTTGTGTAATTACAGCTTCAAAAATCTTTTGAGAAGTTGTAACATAAAAGATTAGTTAAAAAACATTCACACTGCTATGAAATGGAGCAGTCAATTTGGATCCTTGTTATTCCTATTAGGGGAATGCCTCAAGGATCAGTGCTTGAGCATCTGTTTTTTTATATTCAAGATGTTTCATACTAAGCTTTTGAGGAAAATTACTTTTCTATCCAGAGGATATACTTAAAAAAGTGTCAGGGAATTACAACTGAAAAAAATATAATAATATGTTATAAGAAATACTGTAACTATTTACTGTGTTTTATGGGACATCAAAAGGATAAAAATATTTACTTTTTTTCTTATCATCACTAAAGTCTGTTAAGTGATGTCACATTTGTAGAAACCTGGCACATTTGTGGTTTCCTTTTTATACTATGATGTATATATTTAACATTTTGTGGGAAGTTATTTTAAGATAAGTAAAAAACTAAGCTTTCATAAGGGATAAAAAAAATACATGAATAGATGAGAACTTTTCAATAATTTAAAACTTTGGGAAAATTTAGGCAGCAAAAAATGTTTTTCAGTTAAATTTCCCAAAGCTTTAGTATGTAATAATTTTTAATGGCTATAAAAATATGCACATACTGTACAGCTAATGATAAATGTGTAGATGTAATCCTGAATGCCACCATGATGTGGCATAAATTAAGCCATTTACTGAGTAATTTTCATGAATAGAAGAAAACTTCAAATCATAAAAAAGTTCTGAAAACTAAGAAAACACTCCAGTAAGTCAAGAGTAAGGAACTTCAATATATAGCGAAACAAGCAGAGTCTAACTTCACAAAAGAAAAGACAGTATTTCGAACTGGAATTCTCTGTTGGTTCCAGCAGAGTTTGAGTTTATTATTTTATTAAGAGTGACAAGAATTTAGTCCAGCTTCTCTTTCCACTGGTAGAATTTTCCCGATATGTGCATAACTAAATCTTGAAATTCCCCATTCACACCTTCATAACGGACTAGATACCAATCACTGATCTTAATATGCAGATGGCCTGTTGGTAGAAGCTTGTGCATTGTCTGTAGATTGCTGTTTTTCACATATTTGGAGTATTGTGTTAAGTCTTGAGTTCCTTACCTTATGAAGGACCTTGAGTTGTAAAGGATTTAGAGGAGGGCTACATGGGATGGAAACGTTGTCATATGAGGACAGGTTAAAATCTCTGAAATGATTTTGTCTTGAAAAAAGAAGTTAGAGGTGATCTAACTGAAGTGTTTAAGATTTTAAAGGGAATTGATAGTTTTTATGCATTATCTTTTTTGTTACTTAATGGTGTGAATGGTAGGATTAAATGTCATAAAAGTTGGTAGGAATAATTTTTACTTAAGACAGCTTTATTTTTCTAACAGGGTGGTTGACCTTTGAAATGGGTTACCATCAGATATGGTAGATGTAGTTAATTGAAGGAGTTTTAAAAAAGGACTGATAATTATTAGAATGATAAAGGCTGGGTTTGAGTGTCTTGTGCTATATTCTGAGAACAATAGAATGCGACAACACAAGCTTAAGATTTGGAAAAGACAGGCTAGGTTCCAGTTAAAACAGTAATTTTTCTAAAAGGGTGATTGGCCTGGGGAATCAACTGCCATTGGCAGAAGTTTAAAAGAGGAATTGATAATTTACTGAAAAATAAAAGGTGGGTTTAAGTTTTCTTTTTTTTTTGAAGGATGGATTTGCAAGAACAATTTAAATGCTGAAAGCTATTGAGGCATTAGAAAACATTAGGCCTAACATCATTGTATTTTCATGTTATGGAGATCTTGGTGTCGAAGGCTCTTCACTTCCCTTCTTTTTTTGCACTTAAACTCTCACTTTTTGGGTCTCTTGCTTCTTTCAAAATACTGGTACCTCTTGATTGTACACACATACATCTCATTCAGTGGGCTGTGGGGAATCAACGTAAAAGGTCCTGCAATCCCTTATCTGCTCTTGTACCTCTCATTTCCTTTCTGTATCCCTTTGTCATGTTCTGTTGTGGTGGCTTGATTGCTCCAACACAACCCTGGATATTCCATTTCTTGCCTCTCTCTCTTTCTGGTTGGGGGCTGTTTTCAACACTATTAATCTTGCTAGGATGGGATCTGGTCTCCATATGAGTGATCTCTGCATATCAACATTCTTGACATAACTTACTGGGCTTGCTATCTTCTTCAGTCATGGTTGTGAAGTCACCTTGTAATGATTCACTCGGACAACTCTGTGTTGTTGTTTTTTACATCAACTGCTAGGGATACACCCACTCTCTGGACCCATGTTTTCTCACCTTGCAATTCCTTTATTGGGTTGAGGTTCATCACATTTGCTTAGAAGCATGTCATATTCTTGGGGTTTTCAAACAAGTGACAGACAGCCTGTCAGGACTGAACAGGATCCATCCCTTGAGGTGGTCCTTTTATCCCTCTGTCTTCCAGTGGATTTGTTCCCATTTCAGAACCCCCAACATTTACAACTTCCCTCAATTCCAAGCTTCTCTTTTGGTCACCAATCCTGGACTCATCTGCTCTGACTGTAGATGATCTGAGCCACTATTGGTCCAATCTCTTTCTCAATACCTATCTTTCTCTTCATCTTCTTTACCAGGTACTTTCTATCACTTGCAATATCCTTTGCTAGGTTCTTCTGATTACTTCTCTCTGCTCAACTCAGTCGTGGTTTCCACTTCTGACTCGCTTGTCTCTCATTTGGGAAATCTCTTCCTCTTCATCGCACCTTCATCGTCACATGTAGGATTTGTCTGGCTCCTTGCAAGATGAATGGCATTTTCCCACAACGTAGCTCATTTTCTTTCTCATTCTTGTTGGCCTTCTACTCTTGCACTCTATTAACATAAATAGGCAGTTTACTGCAGTCCCTCTGACAGGTCATCCTTCCATACCACATCATTCTTTCTTCTCTTCTTTACCTGGCTTTTTGACAAGGCCTGCTTCATTTAAGCATTACAGACTACCTATTGGCATTGTCCACAACGTTCTATCTTTTGAAAGGCACTAATCTCATCCTTTTGCCTTTTTTTATCAAACATCTTCAAGGCTTTTTTGTGAATCATCCTTCACTGGTCCCTCCTCCCGAATGAGACCTTTATGTGGTCTTACATGCATGCCTCTGCTTTTGAGCCATTTTCATCCTGTTCCTTATAACATTTGCCTCTGAAAATGTATTTTCTCCCTTTACTTGCTTATGTTTGATGTCTTTTGGAAATTTACACGTTAGACACATTCTGTACCCTATATCATAAAGACTGGTTGATGTTGTTTCCTGATCACTCCTTTCTTCCAAAGTCTTGGGCTACGCAGGAGGGAAATTATATGTTTTCTCCCATTTCTTTCCCTTCTATTTTATTGTTATATGATCATTTTGGTTCTTATTGTCTTTTGTGTCTTAAACAAGATATATATATGGGGAGTTTGTTGTTATCTTGCTTGGACTGCCCATTTCTGTTGAAACTGTGATTGCCTATTTTTACAAAGGCATGCCACTCAGGACGTATCACCTTCAACTGGTTGGGTTCATCAGCTTATGTGTGTGGCATTTTCTTCTGTGGGAGGAGTCTGACCATACACTTTTTTTGCATCACCTCCCATCAGATTCAGCCTCTCTTGTCTCATTTCAACGCTGACAACATCTAACTCAATAATCTCTCAATACTTAAACCATTGGATGTTTTCTTGTGACTCTGGTTTTTCCCTCCTTCTGGTTGCCATTTTTAGAATAACCAGATGATTTTTGCCGGTTGATTTTCATCTCTAACTCCATCTTTGATTTTGTATGATCTCTCAGACACATTTCATGATACAACCATGTGTGTACACTTCTTTTCATGTACATTGGCAAAGGAAATCACACAAACAAAAGAAAATCCAGTTACCATGTAGAACTAAACACTATATTAATTGTATTTTGTGTTATTGGATCCAGCTTTATGCTGGCATTGCCTTACGGGGAATATTTACCCAAAATTTGCATTAAGTGGGGAAGTATGGAAAGTTTTGAATCCATCTGCTCCTGCTTAGTGTCCTTTGAGATGTGGTTTTCTGCAAGAAGATTCCACAGCTGTTGCCCATAAGGTAATAGATCTTAGTGGTACAGAGAAGTAATTATCTATCTGAATTACAATTGCAAGTAAATATAATGTTGACTTTACACACACCTCTGATTTGGACAAATTAAGAGGATTTTGAAAAAAAAAGAAGAGCAATTTATTTTATTTTTATCACAAATTTTCTACTTGTATGTTTTAACTGATTTTAGATAAATTGTGACTTTAAGCTGTATGACATATAGAAAGAATCTTAAGTGTTTGAAACCATTGTACCACACCTTAACAATTAAAGATACACAAATGTAGTTCATATTGTGGACAGCTTTTTTGCTTAAAAACTTTAAACTTCATTTGGAAAAATAAATTTAAGAGTAAATACATCTGAAATGATTTATTTTACTAATTTTTTTAGGAATGATGTACAGATATTGAGAAAATAAAAGAATAGGTGGTATCTGAAGGATTTCTGGGCCCACAAAATCAGTTAGGTTCATTATCCTCATATGTGGATGTTTTCCCAGATATTTGGGCCATAAAGAATGAGACTGACACAGACTTCACGTAGAATGCAAATGTTTATTGAGCTCCAATGCAGACAATATAAAGAAACCAAAAAAACACAATGCAATACACTACCACAGAATAGCTATGTGGTGGTGTGTGTGCCTTTATATTAAATGGAAAGTGTAGGACCCGCAGGAGTTAATGAAGATTTTATTAGAACTCCTGATGGCACACAGTTCTAACAATATCGGAGCTAATGCTCCTGAGGGTTCCCCTAAAGCAAGATAAAAGGGAATAAAAGTTACACACACACAATTATAGTGCAAGAGCTTTAGGAGATCTCACTGTAATTTCAAATAATACAACTGTTAAGAATCTGCTTAAAACTCACTGTAAAATCTGATCTCCAACACTGATAATATATTCTCAAGCTAACAGGCAGTAAAAATCACGAGTGAGTCCACCTGCAGCTACTGCCTGATTCACCAACAAAAGTAACTTAGCTTGCTAATTAAAGTTAGAAGCTTGCTTAAGCAATGCCATGTTCCAACTTGGGAACTATAGAAAACAACAAAATTTTGTACAATTTTCTTTCATACTAAAAGGAGTGAAAAACATAGTACAGCAAATGTAAGGTGAGACAGTGTACAGAACTTTCAGTGTTAACTTTGTGTTGCTTACATTCCCATGCAAATAATGTATCAGTAACCTTTTCAAAATATAACCATGTATAATTTTATGTAATTAAAATGTGAATTAAAATTTTCTAAACCTGTCACTTGTATAAAATACAAAAAATATACTTTTGGCCCTCTTGAGCATTGCTTGCTTATTTGTGTTAGTAATTGCACTACTTCTGAATTACATATTGTTCACTAGACAATTGTATATGAAAAGAAAGATTTTGGTATAAATACATAAAATTGTGCAAATGTAATCTTATGATGTGTGGTATCAGTACACTTTGCACCCATAATTGCACATTGACACGAACCACAGTACAAACTTTAGAAAGCTGATTAAAAGCTTAAAACCTTTTTTTTTAACTCTTTTGGTTTTTCCAATTTACTTTGATTTTTATATTTGTCTAGTTTTATGGGTTGATTTTTTTGTGTGATTTAGAACTATTTTCAGGATTTATAAATGGGTATTTAGTTTCAATCATATTTGTATATGTACTTAAGTTGTTTTAATTTCTGTTGATTAACAGTGAACAAATATTTATTTTTAAAACTTATCGTTCACTCTCTTTGTGCATTAGAATGTTATAAACTGCTTTGACATTTGAGATTCACTTCCATTTGATTGGTTGCCAAGGGAATTAACACATGGGCCAACTGGGAAGAGTTGTATACCATCTAGCCTCTCCATGCAGTTTTTCCAGTGGTGTGGTTAGAAATACTGTGTCAAGAGGTTGCTTGTTAGAGCTAATAATAAAATCGAAATGCAAATTGTAGATGTTTTTTCTACATTCCTATTCATTTTATGATGATTAACATGAATGTTAGGCCTATTAACTTCTAACGCTTCACCAGGTTCAAGTAGTTAAACCATAACTTTTAATAATGAATACTTTTTGATATAGGGTGACTGTCAGCAGTCGTGTCCTGAAAACTGTTGATTTAGGTGCTCATAGCCTAAATACATCATTTTCTGCTCCAGTTGAGCATCTTTTCACTTTGTGAAATATTTAAAATAAGAACAGTTACATGTAGGTAAAATAAGTTTGATATTCAAAAATATTTCAGAACAAAACGTGACAGAAGATTTACACACATAAATAGGATATATATATATATTAACCTATTTATTAACATTTAATAAATGAAATAACTAATTATTACATTGGACATTACAGATAATTAGCCTACTGCCTTCATATTTTAATGTTGAGGTCTGCTTTTCAGGAAATGATCAATTCCCTCTTTAAACTCTTATGAAGTACCGACTTCCACTGTTGCCATAAGTCAATCATTATGTTAGAAAAATAAAACTCTCTCAGATCAACCTGTTTTTTACGGATATTATATTTATGTCCTCTCATCCTAGTATCTTCAGAAAAATGAGATTTTTATTGGCTGTCAATATCCTGGGTTATCTCAAGAGAAAACAAATTAAAAGATCTTCACATGTCCCGGGAATGTAACTCTTTGATTCCTCGAATCATTCTAAAATCCTTCACGTGAATGCTTTGCACACAGTCAGTAATTAATATCTTGTTTATTAGTACGAGTCATCAGCGGTTTAGCTATGTTGGATAAACAATATATATGTGCGCGTGTGTATATATTTACTACTATTAGTACTTGCCTTATACTGTATCTGGGTATATAAACCTTCTAAAATTAGTAGTAATAAAACAATGCATGTCTGCATGCCAACCAGGAGGCCTAGATATCTATCTTTGCGTGCAATACTAATTGAGACTTGCAAGTCAGAGACCTAAGCTATATAATGCTTTATGTTCAGTATCATTGCAGTTACCAATTAGTGCAATCCAAACACTAGATTCATACACTGGTCTTGAGTAAACAATAATGTGGACTCAATTTGATATTCTTGACCTTGAGCATTCATATAAATATTATTCCTTTGATGGTAAGTAGAAAGATTACAAGTAGACAAAACACCAGAAGTAGATAAGTATTTTAAAGGGTTTTAGAGGAGGTCAAAGATCAGATATGCTACAATCTCTTTGTTTGCTTTGGTCTCCTTAATTAAGAAAGAAGCTGCTTCAATCTATAAAGCCCCCACATTGATCAAAGTAGGCTGTTTTGCCCAACACATTATGTCTTGTACGTTGCATTAACTTTCTGTATAGACCCATGTCCAGTACAGATTTGTACCTTGATTATGCAACAGTTTGATTGAAAGCCAGATATACATACATGGTAATATAGACAATATAAACAAAAGTTTCTAAACTTGAACTGATACAAAATTATAAATCTTCGTAAGAATATAGAAAATCTTGTCTCACCTTTACACTGGACAGAAATTACAATAGTGTTGATTCTAGTATAAGACAACTGGTGTGACATTTATCTTGACAATTAGGCGCACCATTTTAAAATTCCCAACCTAATTCGTAGGAGTACTAAGTAGTGGGAATGCCCTATTTAACTCTAAAAAGACCACAAATCCAATCAGCCCACCTGTTCAAAATATAATCCTTTTCATCTCATTCAAGCCTTGAACTTTTCAATTAATTCCTACACCAAGCCTAACAAGCACTTCCAAAAAGACTACACACATCAATTTTTTCTTTAAACTTTAGAAATTCTTTATAATTTCAGGAAATTAGATCAGAGAAGAAATTATGGTGCTATTATTTCTATGATTCTCAATACTAAGGTTTGGGGAGGAGGCTTAATTTACAGTACAGTACATTTTAGGTCTCTTTATTAGATACGAAGAGTAGTAAATTTTATAACTTCTAACTTAATTAAATATGTTTAAAAAGTTATAATACTCATATTATGTTTCAAGATGTAATTTTTCTCTTTTCTTTTTCAGGCTTGTCTAAACTCCAGCACTTTTCGATCTAGATGGTTGATTTCAAGAATCTCACCTTTCAGTACCAATGAATCACAGCCACCACAATATGGGCACGGCTTTCCTATCCCTTCCTTCACAGTTCGTCAAGATGAGCCTTTACCTTTAAAGAGAGCTCGTCTTCTGTACCAAAGTAGAAAAAGAGGAATGCTTGAGAATGGCTTAATATTGAGGTGTGTGTGTGGATGAGAATTTATGTAATGCTTCTTGGGCACAATCTTGACTTCCTTTTAAACCATTAATTCTTTAGGCATGCCTGTCACTATGTGATGATCTAGCAAATCACAAAATCAATAAAAGAAGCCTAATCTGCATAAATAATGTTTTAAGCCACCAATTCATGTCCAACATGGCATATTAAAGTTTAGAGATGGGTAGTGAAAGAAACTTTATTATGTATGTACGGTGTTTAGACAAACTTGTGTCACAAATGTTGTAATAGTTTCTTTCACTACCCTTTCAAGCTATCTCCAAACTTTATTTTCTAAAAAGTGCGTTCCTCATCATCAACATGGCATATGTTGTTATTCAAAGTATTGGCAATATTTTCAGTTGAAAATTACTTAATTTTTATGAGAAATTGGACCCAAACTGGCATCAAGTTGGTCCAGTATTTTCAAACTTGAAGAGACAACTGAACTTGTGTATGCTGATGATGATTTTGGCTCTGAATCTGAATTATCTAAAGGGTTAACGGAAACTTGGGGGCTTGATTTATTTACAGTAACCACTTGAAAATGTTCTCAATTTTCTGATTAGAAACTTAGGTTAAAATAAAGATAGTATTCATGAGTAATCATTCATAAATGCAATAGATAATGTTTAAATTCTCATAAGTAAGAATTGAAGGGTTATCTTACAAGTATAGGTTAAGAACTCTTAACTTGTTTTCTTTTGAGGTGATTACTTAGAGTTGTGGTGTTCAAACTGTGGGACATCCCCTCCTCCATGAATGATATGGAGAGTTAACAGGGGAGGTGTAAAGCTATGACTGTAGGAAATATAAATTGTATCTGAAAATACATATTTAAAGATAAAGAAGTCTTAAAACTAAGGTACAAATATTGCTACTTTTAACTAATATAGTAACATGGAAAACTGACGTGTAAAGTATATTATATACATCGGTTGTAAAGGGTGTGGCATGCAACAAAGTGCATGTTTAGAGGGAAGGGCATAAAAAAGTTTCACCTAGAGAATTGATAGAACTCTGTTCTGTACTGAATTCTGATGATAATAGGATGAGAGGACAAAAGTTTAAGATTTTGAAAAAACAGACTAGGATCCATCCAGTTCAAGCAATTTTTTTTTTTTCTAATTATTACATTTTGTTATCAGTTGTCCTCAGCAGCAGTGAATGCCTTACAAGAGTTTAAGAAATGTGGGATTTAATTTTTACTTTTCTTTTTCCTGGGGGTGGGTGTATAGGAACAGTATTGAAAGATCAAGTGGATCCCTATACATAAGCTGATTAACATTGTTTAATTTACAGGGTATATAAATAGATTCCATTCCTATGTATGATCATTTAAAATAAATTCTAGTGTGATTTAAGGGAATTACTGTTATTATTTTAGACCAAACTGAATATATAACTTGTATTTTTGAATTACAATGTGTTTTTTTTTAAAATAATGAACAGTAAATGAACTTGTGTATGTATGTATATATATAATACACGAACATTATATTTTCAGCACCTTTGCAGCAAAACACTTGAACTCCTTTGATGAACAACAATTGGAGCAGTATGACAAGCTGATAAATTTGCCATCAAATGATTGGGATATTTATTACTGGGCAACAGGTAATATACACCAATGAATTTAAGACATTAGCAATAAAAAAGAACAAGGCCATAAAGGCCATTTTGATCATCAAGGTTCTATTTAGACCTACCAAATCAACCAGGTAAAGCATCAAAAATTAAACATATTTTTTCATGTGAATACACTTACCCCCTCCCCCCCAAAAAGAAAAAATTAATTAAAACTGAGATCCACCACACATCAGGCAGACTAGTTCATTGTCTTAAGAAGGACAAATCCCGATCTTTCCTTCCAAAAGTAATATTTAATGTCTGTGATATTCAAGGCTCCATTTCTAGCCTGTTCATTTTCATTCTTCCACTTAACATTACACAGTAGTCGATTGTCCATGATCCTTACTGTTTTAAGCTTTCACTGTTCCATTTAACTCTTGTGTTCGTTGAAACAGATCTAAATCTTTATTGTGTTAGGGCCCAGACGGGTTTGTCCTACCCTGAAAATAAATTGTAGTATTAAGTTAAAAACATTATTCAATATAAACTTGTACCTGTCCTTCCACGGATTTAAAAGAAATATCTTGAGTTGAAAAGTTTTATATATTTAATTTTGTACATAGGAAAAAATCTCAAATTTTGATCTTTGGTCAATTTCAACTCCAAAGAAAAACATTAATGTTTCTGAAGTTCCTCAGTTTTTTCCTAGTGATACAGCACTTGTAGCCCATAGGATGAATTTCATAATAGTTTTCAACAAACTAGGGCCAATGTAAGCCTTTTTGTTTCAATACAAGCAAAGTTCTTAACCTGTACTTAATTGTCTGTTTCTCAGCTTTGAGAAGCCACAGGATCTAAACTCTTAGTGAAAGCTCTTTCTCTGTTTTTTCAACTGTATAAGTCAGTATAGCTTTCATTTTAGCAAAATCTCACAAGAGTTTGTAGAAAAGCATTAGAATCTTAGTTTAATGATATTTTGGTAAAAGAAAAGATGTTTTTGAACAACAACTGCCAGTTACTGTCCTAAATTTTTCTTAAAGCTTATGGTTATCATTTAATTCTTCATTAGAACTATGATGTTGCAGTATTATAGGAAAAGTAATGTTTTTTGTGAAACAAGATAAGGTAGGCCTAGTTAGATTATTTTGCATTCAACCATAGTTTTGCTAATAAGGTCGATGTTTGTTAGGCTGTGTTTACATTAGGATTTATTGGTGTAAGTAACTGTTTGAATGAATAAAGAAAGTCACTAAAAAGAAATGTAAAAATGTACCAAGCTATGAAACTCTCTTACAAATCACCACTATAATAGTTGGTTACTACAGTTGTATTTACACTATTGGGTACCACAGTTGTATCTAAAACTCTAAATAATTCTTTTTTTTTCATCAACAGTCCACACTGACTGGTTTGGTTACTTTAGAACCCAATTGAGAAGACAAATTACTTCTTCTCTACCTCTATTTCTCACAATAGAATCAGTGAATAATTCACTTACGTTACCCCGTGTGTTACCACAGTTGTATCCAGAGCTTTAAATAATTCTCTTTTCTCATCCATACAGTCTGGTTCAATTACTTTAGAACCCAATTATTCTTCTCAATCTCTGTTGTTACAATATCGAAAGCTTCTGCAAATAAAATTCAAGTGAATTTTATTGTCAAGTTTTATGGTGCCAGATTCTTTACAGTAGGTGTCTGTGACTTGTTGGTGATAAATTTGGACAATAAACAGACAGCACACAATCCACTTGTTTTAAAATAATATATTCAAAACAAGTCAAATGTATGTACAAAAATTCTTTACAGTATGTGTCTGTGACTTGTTGGCAATAAATTTGAACAATAAACAGACAGCACACAATCCACTTGTTTTAAAATAATATATTCAAAACAAGTCAAATGTATGTACGAAAATTCTCAATCAAATTTAACCAAAGTACATCAGGTCAATAGTAAATCTGTTGTATTCTTATTTGGTGTTCCCTTTCAGCAAAGAAGTCACTAATATTTTCTGCACATTTCAGTTGTTAACGTGTCCTTTAGTTTCATAACTGAGTTCAGGATTCTTACTTTATCATAAAACTCTGCAAAGTTTTGATACGTGTTACTTTTGCATGTATTTTAATTCCAACATTACTGATAAGATTTCATTATCTTTCTCACATGAAGTTCTTAGAGCTAAGTATATTTAACATATGCTTATAAAAGCAAAGTTTATAGATGAACAAAACATTAATGATATTAAGACAGACTGAACTGAAGTATCATCAGTTTCCTCCTCAGAATCTTCTCATCTTCCCTAATCTCATCTTCAGTTGCTTTCTACTCAGTTTTCTATGGGTCACTGTCACATGTTATGAAATCTATCAGTATCAAGCAGTTCCTGGAAACCACAGTCGAATAATTGCCTTGCAAGAACATGTAGGACTATGGGATAGTTATCTGCCTCCTCCTTGTCACATTCATCGCCAACACTATCTGCTGGAATACTTTCTGGCATGCATTCAGTGAACCCACACTTCCCAAAGCACTTCACAATAATACTGACATCTACATCTGTCCAAGAGTTGGCAACTTAATGGATAGTATCAATTACACTAATGACCTTCAAGAGATCATTTCTAATCTTGTTGGGTTGACAGTTGTCTCTTTCTGTATTTTACCTTCAGGGTTTGAACTATTCTCTGTTTCTGTAGGTTAACATAACAAAGTGTTATTGGCTGGCAGGTATTTTACAGTGACATAGTTCAACTTTACAGAAGCGTGAGCTGGAGTGTTATCCACAAATAATAACACTTTATGTCCCTTCCTTCATCTGTCAAACCAGCATAGCCATTTTCAAATACAGTGATGGTCATCAATGTCTTTTTGTTTGTGTGATATGTCGGTGGAAGGCGATTAACAGAAACACAACTTTTACAGTGTTGCATTGCAAAAATGTGAGAAGGATGAGGTTTTGATTTCATGAACTTTCCTATGTTTTCTGCTTTCCTTTTCCAATATTGAACATCGGATAGGCAGTACCTTCATCAGCCATATTGTTTTTATAAGTACACTATTTATACAGTTTTGAAGTATTACTGTTATCTTTCTTTTGTTTTTTTAGCTACAATAACTTTCACTTTGGTAGCTTTTTACTTAGCCTTTTGAGCTTGTCAAGCTTGTCATATATGACCATGGTAGCCTGTTGAGCTTGTCACGTATTACCATGGTAGCCGTCGAGCTTGTCACGTATTACCATGGTAGCCCGTCGAGCTTGTCACGTATTTCCATGGTAGCCCGTCGAGCTTGTCACGTATTACCATGGTAGCCCGTCGAGCTTGTCACGTATTACCATGGTAGCCCGTCGAGCTTGTCACGTATTACCATGGTAGCCTGTTGAGCTTGTCATATATTAACATGGTAGCCTGTTGAGCTTGTCATATATTCCATGGTAGCCTGTCGAGCTTGTCATATATTTCCATGGTAGCCTGTTGAGCTTGTCATATATTTCCATGGTAGCCTGTTGAGCTTGTCATATATTAACATGGTAGCCTGTTGAGCTTGTCATATATTAACATGGTAGCCTGTTGAGCTTGTCACGTATTACCAGGGTAGCCTGTTGAGCTTGTCACGTATTACCAGGGTAGCCTGTTGAGCTTGTCAC